ATATTTTTAATTTTTATTTTTTTAAGATTTATTTGAGAGAGAGAGCCCACGTGAGCAGGGGGAGGGGCAGAAGGAGAAGGAGAAAAAGAATCTCAAGCAGACTTCCCACTGAGCGTGGAGCCCAACACGGGGCTCAAACCCACAACCCTGAGATCATGACCTGAGCCGAAATTGAGAACCAGATGCTTAACCGACTGAACCACCCAGGCGCCATCTTTCTAAAACCAAAGAGCATGTGATGTGACAGTGCCTCAAGCATTAATATGTTATCCTTAAATGTCACTCATACTAATAAAATGCAAATTCTCTATGAATGAGTGAGTTTCATGAACCAAGTCTTATTCTTATTTGCAGGTGGCACTTCTGGTTGCAAATGAATTTTGGGAACAAGGAGATCTGGAGAGGACCGTGCTGCAGCAACAGCCTATTGTAAAGACCTTGACATAAAAATGCACTATTTATTACAAATTATTGATACAAATCAGTTTCTTTTGTTCCCTGAGTCTTAGAAAACTATCCTTAAAGAATTTATTTCTCTTTCTAGCCTATGATGGACAGAAACAAAAAAGATGAACTACCCAAACTTCAAGTTGGATTTATTGATTTTGTCTGTACTTTTGTATATAAGGTAAGTAAACAAATTGAGTGAAATATATAATCAATCATCTGGGGATGAGGCTTTTTCTTTCAAAGTGTTACCAAATTCAGAAGTCACCCACATGGAAAGCCATTAGGGGTATACTTGTTTCTCCAAAGTAGCTTGAGGAATTACCCTAATTTCATTCAGGGGTGGAAGAAAAACTAGAATTCAGACATGAGCACATTGAACAGATGAGACGTACTCAGAAAACAGCACTGTCTTTCCTGTTTCCATGGCACTGAGTTAAGCTCAATCCAAGCAGCTCTGAGCACTGAGCACTGTGACAACTCCTTATAGCTCCTTCTCTGCATATGAAAAGTACTGAAAATCAACTATATGATTTAAATAGCTTCTGACCTAAAATTCTCTCTAGGAGTTCTCACGGTTTCATAAAGAAATCACACCAATGCTGAATGGTCTTCAGAACAACAGAGTAGAATGGAAATCCCTAGCTGATGAGTATGATGCAAAGATGAAGGTGCTTGAAGAGGAGGTGAAAAAACAGGAAGAAGGAAATACGACCACAAAAGGTTAGTTAGATGGAATGTGTTTTTGCTCATTGTAAAATAGCCAGGAGTCAGGCTGAGCTTAATCTCACATGACAAAACCGTAAGTAAATGCAAACAGGAAACTTGCTTTTCAAGTAATTATAATAAATTGATTAGTGCTTTTCAGATATCCACCCCCACTCCCAACAAGTTCTTAGGAATAATTCCAGGAGGAATTGACTGGTCCAGTTGAAGTAGGGGTTGGGGTTAGGCTTCTTCATCCACTCTAGTATGTGGCTCCTGAGTACCTCCACAGAATACTGAGATTTTAGAAATACAAAAGCCATAGAATCAGTGGCATCAGAGTTAGGTGAGAAAACAATTTTAGTTCTAACATTACGCATTAGCTGTTTCTTTGGGCAACTTGCTTAACCTCTCTGAGCTCAATATTCTTCTCTATATAATGAGAAGATTTTGCAGACCTCCAGCCTCCCTTCCAGACTTAAGGAAGCCCTACATGAAAGCAAAGCTGGCCAACCGAATGGGATGATTTGACAGTTATTCCAAGACTGACTGTGTCTCAAATGTCCCCATATAGTGGTTTTTCTTGATGAAACTTCTACTCCTGAAGTCACTGTTTGGTTTAACATTATCTTCAGAAAGCCATTGTTAAGATGCTTAGGATCAACTATGAGTTTATCAGATGACTCAGATGTTACCTTGAATTCAGAATGCTAATGTCATGACTTCCTATTTTGTCTTGAGATTCAGCACTTAAAAGGTTTTGTAAGAAATTTTTATTGTTTAACCAAGAAATCTGCTCTTTCTGGAAGAGCTTTGTAAAACAAAAACCAAAAAATACAACATTCTTTTTAGATGATTCCATCGTGTTTACTGGTATTTTAAAAAAATTCATGGAGGGAGAAAGTATTTTGCTTAAAAGGTTAAGGATGTCCTTCAACAGAATAAAAGTAGGAGTTTGACTTCTTGATAATCCATTCACCAATGTATTTATTGGGTGTCTATTCTGTACAAGGCCCTGGGTTCGGCAGGGCCTGGGGAAAGTTAGGGTCCTTACCTCACAGAGCTTACCCCCTGGTCGGGGAGCTAGACATTAAACCAATAAATGAACAATTAATTATCTATCATGAACAATTTATGTAACTATCAGAGGAAGCATGGGGAAGGCTTTCCTGAAGAAGGATGCTTATGCTAAACTCTGAACACAGGTGGCTTTGGCTAAGCCAAGAAAGGGGGAGGGGTTGGGGAAGAAGGAAGGAAAAGAATATGCACAAGTGTAAATGGGATCGACTCCTTAATTTCTCTTTCTTCTGTCTTCTTGTTGGTCTATAGGAATGCCACTGATTTCTGTGCATTGATTTTTATATCCTGCCATTTTACTGAATTCCTGTATGAGTTCTAGCAGTTTTGGAATGGAGTCTTTTGGGTTTTCCACTTAAAGTATTGGGGTGGGGGGATGGGTTAGCCTGGTGATGGGTATTAAAGAGAGCACGTACTGAATGGAGCACTGAGTGTTATACGCAAACAACGAATCATGGAACACTACATCAAAAACTAATGATGTATGGTGATTAACATAACATAATAAAAAAAAAGAATATGCACAAAGGCCTTGAAGTGGAAATAAGCTTGGTGCAACTGAAGAACATAGAAACTGGTGTAGCTGGAGTCTAGAGAACAAGCAGGGCAAAATACCAGATAAAGCTGGTAAGGCAGTTAGGCCGGATAGTGCTGCCTTAAAGGCCTTGCTTGAGGATTTGTCCTCTAGAGGAGCAAGGGGAGGTCATTAAAGGGATTTAGATAGGAAAGCAATAACCTGATTTGCACTTCAAAAAGATAACAAGTCTCACTCTGCTCTCCCCGTCATGCTCAAGCTCTGTCTCTCAAATAAATAACCTTAAAAAAAAAAAAAAGATAACAAAAGTGGTCAATTTTACAATGCAAGTGGAAAGCAAAGGTATTTCTTAGTACAATTAAATTTAATCTTTATCTCAATTTTATGATGAACAGGATATCAGGTTCTTTAAGTGGCTCTTGATACTTTCTTTTAGTATTCAGTATATCGGATATAGATCTTCTATGTTTATTTGCATAAAAAATTACTTGTGAACTTTCCTCCTGCTACCCTGAGAAGTCTCTGTGAACTAAAAACATTATTTTGTATCTTCAGGCAACAAGCTTTGTGCTTGTTGGCACAAAGCAACAACTCAGATTCCCAGATTGTGCAGTTCAGTGGTTTGAGAAACAGATGTTGTTAAATGGTTAATCATTTATAAGATTGTTTTTTAAATGGATCAACTCTGAACATTAATTCAAGTTTTAAAATGGTCAAAACCCTAGTACTTGTGTTAAAACTATTAACTAGCTATAAAGTTGATACTAACATTATGAGAGTATTAGAATAAAAACACTGTGTGTCCCCGGATTCCCAATACTACTGCTTTTCTCCTTTTTACTAGCCACAGAAGATTTAGGAGGTGGCAGTGATGACAAAAAGTCCAAAACATGTCTCATGTTATAATCTGACTGGCTGAAATTTCAAATATTGTTTCTACTTTTGAAGAAAAACAGAAGAAACAAAAGAGCTTCAGCAAACTTCAGCACACCATCAACTAACAGAGTAAGAGGATCTTTAGATACGCTACCCTTATGACCACCAAAAGAAAATATATTGCTAGCCTGAAAACCCTGAGAGTAAAATAAAGTTCAACAAAAATTCAAAATATAAGATGAAAATAAGTGCATTTTTTGGAGCCAAGTTGTTTTAAATTAAAAATATGCAATCCTGGGCGCCTGGGTGGCTCAGTTGGTTAAGCAACTGCCTTCGGCTCAGGTCATGATCCTGGAGTCCCGGGACGAGTCTCGCATCGGGCTCCCTGCTCAGCGGGGGGTCTGCTTCTCCCTCTGACCCTCCTCCCTCTCATGCTCTCTGTCTCTCATTCTCTCTCTCGCAAATAAATAAAATCTTAAAAAAAAAAAAAATTAAAAAAAAATGCAATCCTGAAACCAGTCACCAATTCTTTTTTTAAAGGTTCTTATTAATAGTATTCATTTGCTAGGGCTACCATAACAAAATACCAGACTGAGTGGCTTAAACCACAGAAATTACTTTCTTACAGTTCTGGAGGCTGGAAGTCCAAGATCACGGTGTTGTCAGGGTTGGTTTCTTATGAGGCTTCTCCCCTTGGCTTGTAGATGCCCATCTTCTCTCCTACCCTCACATAGTCTTCCCTCTTGTGTGCCTGTGTCCTAATTTCCTCTTATAAGGACACAATCATATTGGATTAGGGCCCATTCATATGATTTCATTTTACCCTAATTAACTCTTTAAATACCCTATCGCCAAATATAATCACATTCTGAGGTACTGGGGGGTTGAATTTCAAAATGAATTTGGGGGGGGGTGACATAATTCAGCCCATAACATTAATAATCGTAATTCATACCTCAAATTCCTTCCTAAACTAAAAATCTCTCATCTACACATCTTAAGAGTAAATACAGTATAGAACTTATATCTGTAAGTACTATACACAAAACAAGTAATAGGATGTCAAATGTTATTCCATCTGAAATGCTCATCATCTCTTTCCTCTACTTTTTATCCTTGATAATGGAAGGATGAAGACCACACTGCTTTTGGCAGTTTATGTCTTTGTCCTATGCCCATCCCTCTCCACAAGTGTAAAAGCAATTATTTTATGCATAACAGAATATTTTTTAATATTCTATTCTTTTCATTGAAAGAATAATCAGTTTATAAGACATTCCCTGGATAGTCCTAGCGTAAATTAAATCAGCTAATAAATGTTATGCATTAAGAAGCATGTGATTTGATTATGCAAGAATTTTACTATCAAAAGCAGTTTAGAAGAACTTCAACAGAGGTTATTTAAAAAAAAAAGATTACTAGAACCATCTACCATGCATTCTAAATATTGTTTTGTCAAGAGAAACTAAGGACAATCAACTATTACTACATGGTGGACGTTTGGACATCAGAGAAATTTAGGATTTCTTCCTTATCTACAATCACAGACCAAATAATAATAATTATGCCCTAGATTCTGCCATTTTATCAAAAGGTATCTAAATTTTAATGAATCAAATTGACAAACTATGAACCTCAAATGTTTTGTTATACAGAAGATATCGTTCAATTTTAAGCAGCCAGGGGAAAAAAAATCACCATTTGTTTTATGTTCACAAGTAAAAATTATAAGATTTAGAATCATAGGATTGCTGCTTTCACATTAGAATGTAGGTGTGTGAAAGGAAAGATTTTTGTCTATTTTCATCTATTTTGTTCCTAACTCTATCCTGGCACCTAGAGAGAATAGCGCCTGGTACAAGGTAGGTTCTCAGTGAATATGAACGAATAGTATTTTGAATAAATGTCATAACAAACAGCTATAAATGAGGAGTGCCTGTAAGTTAATGAAATATCTTTAGGGGGGAAAAACTCATTCAATATATACATGAACATGAGTGTTGTCTATTAAGTCATTACCTTGAGTAAGTGATACATGTACACCTTGTTTCCATTACTTAAAATTTTGAAACTCCACTTTTAGGATTATTTTAGAAACTGCTTAAGAAACTCTTCCTTTAGGGGCTCCTGGGTGGCTCAGTTGGTTAAGCATCTGCCTTCAGCTCAGGTCATGAACCCAGAAAGCCCCCACCCAGCCCTGCTCAGTGGGGAGTCTGCTGCTCCCTCTGTCCCTCCCCCTGCTCATATTCTAATACATAAATAAAATCTTAAAAAAAAACAAAACTCTTCCTTTAGCTTTATGTAATTTTGGACCCCAAATTATCAGCTCAAACAACTTCCCCTCCTCATTTACTAGAAAGCAAATTGAGGAGCAGAGATGTGCTGTTATTGAAGGTCTGCAAAAATAGGAACTTTGCTTAACAGCAAGTAGAAGAAAGCATTAACTTCATATCCCAAACGGTGGTCCACTGAACACCAATGACTGCATTATAGCCAAATATGAGATAGGTCTATTGGAGAATTATTCTTTAAACTCGTCATCTTGAGGCCTTTTCAAAGACTCCTTAAAAATATGACTTCAGTTATGTATGAATGGATTAAGTGTTATGATTATATATAATGACCTAAATTTACTAATGAACCTAATGTCCATAAACCATACTTTTAATACCAAATACATGGATCTATTTTAAAGGAGTCTAGCTTTTTAGTTATCATTTAATTTTATAGGAATTTTATTTTCTGATGATCACTAAATTATGAATGTATTTTTATCATAAACATGTTTTAGCTACATATATACTAATATCAGTTTGCTGCTGGACATTTCAGCACTTTTTCCCTAGAAACCAAGATTCCTTTTTATTCACTGTAAGTTGTGAGATTTTAAAAAAATACAATTTTTTAAGAAAATAAGGGGATTTAAAAACAATGTTCAATGTTAACAAACCAATACTGATTTACTGTTTTTTTGATGGTTTAGAAATGACTGTATAATTCTTTCCTAGATAGTTCCTTTGTAGCAACATCCAGCATAGTGCCTCACATATAATAGAAGCCTGATAAATATTTGAATTAATGAATAACAACTATTTAATAAAAGGAATATCTCTGATACTAACCATTTAAAAATAAGACACTAAACTACTTATTCTGCAATTTAATGCCAATCATTCCATGTTTAAATGTCCTTTAAAACAGTCTTAAAATAATTGAAATAATATGATTGCTTTCTACAGGCCTCTCTTCACTAAATCATGCATCTTCTTAGCCATCTCTTCGCTCTTTACAAACATGGGTTAAAACCTTTTTTTAAAAAAATCAATAAATCCATTTGAAAATTTGATGAAAACTATGGACCCTTTCCCCCCATAAATACACATAATTACAGAAGTTTACACACAGATTCTAGGAGTGCTTAGATCCCCTAAAGCACATCCACTGACTCTGAGGGGTATGATCAGCAAAGTAAGAAGTTACATTTTATAATATATCCTGGCATATAAGTATATCCATATTTGTGTGACTGTATCTGAGATAAGATCTAACACATACTATTATTCAGTTAAATTATCTTATTATAGAATCTCTCTGTTGGAGAGTCAACTTTCGTGGGGCGCCTGGGTGGCTCAGTCGTTAAGCGTCTGCCTTCGGCTCAGGTCATAATCCCAGGGTCCTGGGATCCAGCCCCACATTGGGCTCCCTGCTCCGCGGGAAGCCTGCTTCTCCCGCTCCCACTCCCCCTGCTTGTGTTCCCTCTCTCGCTGCGTCTCTGTGAAATAAATAAAATCTTTAAAAAAAATAAATAAATAATTGAAATGCTATGATTGCTTTCTACAGGCCCTCTCTTCACTAAATCATGCATCTTCTTAGCCATCTCTTTGCTCTTTACAAACATGGGTTAAAACCTTTTTTAAAAAAATCAATAAATCCATTTGAAAATTTGATGAAAACTATCGACCCTTTTCCCCCATAAGTACACATAATCACAGAAGTTTACACACAGATTTTAGGAGTGCTTAGATCTCCTAAAGCACATCCACTGACTCTGAGGGGTATGATCAGCAAAGTATGATATATACACACACATACACACACAGTTGCTTTTCTTCCTTCTGGGACAGGGAACCAAGCGGGAAAGTCAAATCCAGTCTACCAGTCTCTTCAGAAAAAGTTCTTTTAGATCAGAAATTCACAATGGGACTCCATTATTTGGTTTTAAATAACTGAATGCACAAAGCCATTATACCCATGATCAAATTAAAAAAAAACAACAACTACAGAATCAGATAAAGTTGATTTAAGAATTATCAGCAATTTGGTATTCCCCAAGCTGTTGTCCCTTTTCCCCCAGCATGACAGCAAAATGCAGTAAAAGTTACATTTTATAATATATCCTGGCATATAAGTATATCCATATTTGTGTGACTGTATCTGAGATAAGATCTAGCACATACTATTATTCAGTTAAATTGTCTTATTATAGAATCTCTCTGTTGGAGAGTCAACTTTCGTGAATCTAATCTACTGTTTCAGACTTCTGGGACCTCATTTGCCGTGACCCGCTGCTCCACGGTATTAATTTACTTTGTAATAAACTTCTCACACACTGGGAAGTCAAATTTGATTATAACAAAGTCCCTTAAGTAGGATAGGTGAGAAGGAAGAGAAAGGTAAGCAAAGGGAAAAAAAAAGGCAGCTAGCAAGAGGTGGTAATGAGAAAGTAGGTGCTTAAAAAGAGGGGTGCCAGTGTATCAAAGGAAAGGTAAAGACATAATGAGTCTATTTTATAATTTTTGTGAGACACCAATAATTCTAATAACTTAAACTAACTGAAGCAAGGGAAGATAAATATGAGTGAGTAAAAACAACAGCAAAAACCCCTACAAAATACAGGCACAATGGACTCTCTGTACAGTGTACCAGCTTCATCCTCCAGCAGCTACAGATGGAGCAGTCGTCAACAAGCAACTGAAAAGATATAAAGGGATGGAGAAGCATGTCTCCAATAGAACTGAAAAACTTCCAAAGCAGCTGACATCTTGAGAGTAGCTGGATTTTTATTTCTGAAGATAAACCACTCAAGCTGCAACTTGTAGATAAAATTTTTGTGAAGAGTTTCAAAGTGTACTTTCACATTAAGGAATGTGGGCTTCTCTCTTCCATCTCACAGAAATAAATCTTGAAAATAGTCATCAAATTCTTCTTCTCTATTTAAAAGAAAAGGTATATATATTGATTAAAATCAACAATTACAGAAAAAAAATTAGGTGACAATTATATGTGATTAATGAAAA